GTTGAAGGCTGAGGTAAAGTCCACAGTAGTGTGAATTACAGAGGAGATAGCGTCCTCTGTGGATCTGTTGTTCCTGTATGCATACTGGTGTGGGTCCTCAGCGACATCGATTGAGTCCTTGATGCGGGCCATGACCAGTCTTTTGAAGTACTTAATTACTATTGGGGTGAGGGCTACTGGCCGATAGTCATTCAGGCCTGTCACTGTGGACGCTTTGGGTATAGGGATGATTGTACAGGTGGGGACTGTCGCCTGTTGGAGGGAGGTATTGAAGATGTCTCCGTCAGCTGGTGTGCGCACTCCCTTAGCAGCCGCCCAGGGATGTTGTCGGGACCAGCAGCTTTACGTGGTTTGATCCTTTGGAGGGTCCTCCTCACCTCCGCTGCGGTCACACTGAGCGGCTCTTCTCCTGGTGGAGGGGTAAGCCTGGTGCTGGGGGGGATGTTCACATCGTCGAAGCGGGCGTAGAATCTGTTGAGAGCGTCGGGAAGAGAGGGGTCCCTCGGGCATTGTGCATCTCTGGTGTTATAGTCTGTGATGCACTTGATTCCTCTCCACATACTCCGCGAATTGTTGGACAAGAAGTGACCCTGGATCCTCCGGGCGTATGCGACCCTGACCCTCTTCACACCGGCATTTCTTCTTCTTGCCGCTCCGAGTGCGACTCTGTCACCGGACCTAGCTTAGCCAGTAGCCCGCCCCTCTTCTGCTTCCGCGCAGACCGCTTACGAGCTCCGCTACGCCAGCCCGGTGTCCTAAGGAGCTGCAGTCTGCCCAGCAAGGCCCTGAGTTCAAGCCCGATGGCCGTTGTTGTTTTTGTCGTTGTCGTCGTTGAGCTCGTCGAGCCCGTGGCTGAACCATCCCTTAAATTTAAGAGTTCGATTTGGCCGTACCTTACACGCTTGTTTACACAAGCAAAACGGTTAGAGTTGGCCTCGGAGCCAACTGAAAAGGCACTTAAAAGTACTTGACGTCGGGAGCATGAGAAGCCGCTGCGCTCCTGCGCGCCGCCATCTTGCTCCTCAGTGACCTGTTGAAGATGTCAGTGAGCACGTGGGCCAGCTGGTCTGCACACACCTTGATCAGCCATCCTGGGATGTCATCAGGACCTGCCGCTTTCCCTGCGATTACTTTTCTTAGAATTCTGCGCACAGTAGTGGTTTTAAGCCTGAGGACCTGATCGTCAGGGTGGGAGTAAGCTTTACTTGCTGGTGTGTTGTTTAGAGCTTTGAATCTTCCAAAGAAGTTGTTTTGCTCATTGAGGAAACTGCTGTCATCCTGGCAGGGTGAATGTGGCTTTGTAGTCTGTGACAGACTGGATTCCTTACCACAGATGTCTGGTGTTGCTGGGGTCATGGAAGAAACCCTAGCTCTTGTTATAATGTTTAGACACGTTTAGACATGGGACCAAAACATTCAGTTTTTTTTAGTTGCCTGTATGAACCTAAATGTAAGCAGTTTTATTTTATTTCATTTTCTTTACTGTCTCGACCTTTTAACTTCTACTCTGTACAGTCAAACTAGTTGATTTGAATCAGAAAAGTCTAAAGTTCTGTTTTAAGCTACATACCCACGAACCAACAGAGAGTTCTTATCCCATCTCAGTTTAGGAGTCATTTTTTTTACCTACCTTGATAGAGAACAGACCCCATGACTCTACCAGGAAAACAATAGGCAACAACATTGACTGTCCATTCTACTGTGGAAAGTTTCTAATAAGTCATTGGGAAATGTAGTGATCCGTTTCTTACGCCATGATGATGTTCTTTAGTAAGTGGAGGAATTCTTTTGAACATACTTCACTGTGCATCTGACCACAACTGAAACAGTTTTGGTTTAGGTATGTTGGAGTAAATTACCAAGCCATCCTCTGCTTTGATAAAACAATATTAAACATGTTTTAGATATTCTTCAGTTCACCTCACGGGTCCACCCAGATTCACAGGAAGACATGACTAATTTCTTTGCAAAATTACATCAACCAAGGGTCACAGATGTGAAGAAAGAAGTTGTGCCCTCAAAGTCAAATTAAGAACAATATCCAGTAATTTCCAAACAGAAAAAAAATCTTCTTGGCTGGCCGCATTTGGCCCCCGGGCCTTGAGTTTGACACGTATGCCCTAGTGGATTAAATGCTAAATAAATAAATTCAACTCTTCAAGTCTTTCCTTCTGTTCCTTTCCTTCCTTAATCTCTCTTTTAATTACCCTATTTTCCATACTATAAATCGCACTTTTTTTTAATGCTTTGGCTGGGTTTGCGACATACATTTAAATATATAATTTCACTGGTTATTTTCACAGTGACAGCCACTAGAGGGCACTCTAGGCTTGTGTATCAGTATGTGCTCCTCTTGTACCACTGAAAATATACATGTTGGGTATTGTCACACTGACAGCTGCTAGAGGGTACTCTAGCTGGCATTTGCGACTTATACTCTATACTCTTATATACTAGTTTTTAAAAAGGAATATTAGAAGACCTAACCTGTTCCTCAAATAGATCAACCTAGTTTTTAAATCTAGACTTCAAGCTTTTGTCAAAAATTTTGCTTCTCTTTAACAAGTCCCCCTTCTGTTATTGCTACCGACCAGACTGGATTTATCAGGACTAAATAGTCTTCACTCATTGTACTAATTTTACTTAATTTCCCTTTGTTCAACTCTTCAAGTTGAACAAAGTTGATACATATATATATGTGTATATATATATATATGTGTATATATATATATATGTGTATATATATATATATATGTGTATATATATATATATATATATATATATACACATATATATATATATACACATATATATATATATATACACATATATATATATATACACATATATATATATATATACACATATATATATATATATACACATATATATATATATACACATATATATATATATATACACATATATATATATATACACATATATATATATATATATATACATATATGTATATATGTATATATGTGTGTATATGTATATATATGTATATATGTGTATATGTATATATATAGTGTATAGATATGTCTATAGATACATATACATGTATTTTTGTGTCGTTGTCTTTATTTGACTTCTATTGTTTATTTACTAAAATGTGCTGCATATCTTATGTTTATTAGTTCCTCCTCAAGACCAGAAGAAGGGACAGCACTATTCAGGCTTTCAGACACAACCTACAGTTGAATTTGTAGACTTGCAGGACGGAAAGAAACGGAAAAAGGTTCTTCCTTTACCTACTCATCGGGGACCAAAGATCAGGTGCAGTATTTGCTGAGTGAATTATTTCATTGAATTCAGAGCAAGATATTACGAGTAACAACATTCATAAATTAAGAACCACCCCCCCCCCCCCCCCCCCGAAAAAAGAAAATATCATATATACAGTTTTGGACATCACCACCATTAAAAACTTTACTTTTCTCTTTTGTAGAATGCGTGATAAAGGAAAAAAGCAAGAGGCACCATCTAAAAAGGCAAAGCCTGGATCAAAAAGAATGAAGAAAGGATGGCAGATGGAGAAACCCACACGGCCTAGAAACCAGGTGTGTACAGCGTTTGTTGTCTATTCTGGGTCTTTGTAGCAGAAGACAGGTAAAATGAAGGTGGTTGGGATTTTTTTTCAGTTATGGTACATTGTGTCTGCCGACTAATCAGCAACAGGGAGAAGAAAAGAAAACAATTTCTTTGTACTGTCCTCCCAGCCACCTGTGTACTGGGAAGGATAAGATCGTGCCACTGAGTAGCTTTTACTCTGAAATTAGTAGCCTGTTAGTTCATTCACCTTTGTAGACGTGTCCACTTGACCTACAGCTGTGTTTGCTGTGTTTACTCTTTTCAGAAAGGGACGTCAGCCAACAAGCATGCCAGGAGCAGAGGTGGAGATCGTTTTGACAGCCTAGTGGAACAGTACAAGAAAAAACTGATGGGGAACACTGGCAAGAGCATCAACTTAAAAAAAACCAAATGGTTTAATAGTTGAGTGTTTATGTGTTTGTGTGCATGTGTGTCGGCCGCAACAGGCATCTTTGTGCGCATATGTCATTATAACACAAAGTGGAAGAAAAAAAAACCATGGGTGTGAGCAAATTTGTTTCATTCAGTTGTACAGTACAAACCTCTCATGTATCAATTGGACTTTTTTTTTGCTTTTTTACTAGACGCCAGGGGCCTTTTTTTTTTTTTTTTTTTTATCGTGTATCAATTGGACATTTTTTTTAGGCCCCTCAAACTAGACGCCAGGGGCCTTTTTTTTTGTTTTTTGTTTTTATTTGTGCATACGTTTTGTGTAGCGATAAGCTTCACCTCTTGGTCATTTTTTAAAAATTGGATTAACTTGATGGTGACAGCTGTGGTGATAGTGGGAGTGGAATGCAGTTTAAATTAAGCACGAACACCACAACAGACATATTTCAATTTTTTTGTCATTTTTTTTCTCGTCTTTCATCCCACTGAGACTAATACTCACAAACTGCACCGAAGAAAAACATTGTATTTAGTATAAATATCTCTTTATTTAAAATTTGTCATAAAAATATAGTTAACTGTACAAAAATAAACAACATAGTGTACTTTGGCAATAAATAACAGTTGATGGTATTTGCACAAAACTAAACTTGATCTTTACACCTGAATTTCAAGTTCTTATAGATGATGGCAAAGTCTATTCACCTCCAAACATGACATCATTGTAGAATGTGATCCTTGCGTTGTCTGTGGATTCAGCATCAGTAGTGAACCAGTAGCTGTTTCTCAGATATTGATCATTAAATCTTTCCAGAAAAAGCCTTTGAAGAAGTGAAACATTAATGATGTAAAACAAAAAAGCAAAGACTTGAAAGTCTAGCGTTGTAGGATGCTGTTCCTTACTCAATTTAGAAAACCTGTATATTTTCATAAATTTTTTTTAAATCCTTCAGACCTCAATTTTGTGAACTACAGAAGTGTTTCTCTGGTCTATAACTGAGACAAAATGTTGATTCTGAGGTCTTTGTTGACCCAGTAAGTTAAGTGCATTTTCTTCAGAATACATTCCCTTTAAAAAGAGGTGGCAATAGGGACGGTGGCGTACAAAGTCTGACAATTGACGCGTGCAGCTCTTCTGAAAAGCAGACAACACTGGTGGTCCTTTAGCATATTTCAAGATTATCCAAATTCTTCAGCAGCACGACGAGGATCTCTTTGACTCGCAGGAGAGCCTCGAAGCTCACTGTGTCAATGAGATCTTTGTGCGACTGGAGCTTTTGCAGTGGCTCTGGTACAGAGGGCTTTGGCCGCTGCTTGTTGCAGTGTCCCTGTCTCCACTGATCAAGGTGCCTTGTTAAACAGGAGATGTCGGCCTTTATCTGGGAGACTCCGTTGAGTGTGTCCGAAATAAGGCTGTTGTAACCATCCAGGATCATCACTGTAGCAGAAAGTCTGTCCAGGTCTCCGGCAGCTGGGCTGAGTGTGCGTCCAGCAGGGAACTGCAAAGACAGGGACATGGGTCAGTCACAGCACCAAACAAAACATTGCAACTTCGGCATACACTTGGTCATTAGATGTATCAGGACACAAAGTTGACCTTAATTTCACAACGGGAACTCCTTAGGAAGTAATAAAGTTCCACCTATGTATCTATCAAATCTTACCTGGAAGTTTTTAAGCCTGACCAGCAGCTGCTCTGAAAGCTGCTTCACATTGGATTTCACCTTCACCACTTCCATTGGTAGTGAAGCAGCTGTGCAGATGCTTAGAAGGTGCAACAGAGGAAGCAGGAAGGCCAGAGAGCAGTACATATCTGCAGTATGTCATGCACGTGCGGAGAAGAAAAATTCTGTGAAATGATAAGATAAGGCAGATTACCTTTTAGTGCTGTTCTCAGGCATTCTGTCATCACGACAGAGATGTGCTAATATCAACAGGAACACCAGTTTGGACTTGTAAACTGTGTTTTTACTCAGTTTGTTTGAATTTGCTAAATATTGATTGTGGACACCTGTGAAGTTTTGACGGTAGCTTGCACAAAGATCATCAACTTGGCTCTAAATTCTCCTATTCCTATCTCCTATTTATAAGTGCAAACTTTTAAGAGCTTTGAACAACAACTAATAAAATAATTTAAAAAAAATACACATTGAGTTAAGTGAAACCGATTTAAAAAATGAAGAGGAGAGTTGCCCTTACCGTAGCTGATGTCTGTGTGTATGTCATTGTTGGGTATCAGGGTATCTTATAGCAGAGGGATGTTGAGTCATCTCTTACTCACTTTTTTCTCCGACCCCTGCCCCCCCACCTTCCCCTTATCCAGACTCTCTTCCACCCCCGACCTCATACGCCTGAATTCCCATGTAGCTTTCCATACACTAGGCAAATTGGATATGCGGTAAATTTCATTTAAAAAAAAACTTTCCAGTGACACATTTTAATCAGAAACTGACACGTGAAAGTGTATTAATGAATGACTGTGATGCACCATTTTTAAAAGATGAGTTTCTGTTTTTATTCAGAACAAATAAAATGATATTCTTTTGTGTTGGTGTGTTGTCTCTAAAGATTTTCATCAACTTCCTTGTGAAATCGAATCCTTGTTAAACAGTACGATAGTTTTTTTTTTTTTGTGGTTTCTAATAATTACCTTATTTTTATGGCCTCATTACATTTTCTTTCTTTTTTCTGTTTTCTGTTTCATTTCTGTTTTAGCACAATGGGAAGCAGGACAAAAAAGCAGACTGATGTTTTCTCTGAACCAAAAAGAGGTGTGAGTGATTTTTGTGCGTGCATTACAGGGAGGTCTGAACACAGAACAGAACTTCAGCAGTGGTGTCACTTTTCTCTCAAAGTAATTTACAGTAAATCCTGCACACTACCGTAGCCAAGTTGCATTTGCTTACTGATACGAATCTTTTAAAAACATTAACACATGGTCACTCAAAAGCTTTTTTAAGAATAAACATCATCAGAAAATTGTTCGGAAAAACTCAGAACTTCTGGGAAAGAAAAGTAAATTGATGACAGACCGTATTCCTGTTGTTTTTGTAATTGTAACCACGTAATTTTCATAAAAGGAAAACCAAAACGTGTTTGATAACTGGGGAAATAACTTCCCAGTATATTTCTTGTTGTTGGCACAAGTTTTTTTTCTTCCTGGCAACACGGATGGCTAGTAAGTCTTGTAGTTCTTCAAGTCTTTAGTTTAACCTGTTTGTTTCAAAAGATACATGAATAAATAGGATGAAAGAATGAGAGGGAGGCAGGTGATAAAACGGTGAGAATTAAAAAGGCAAGGATTACAGATACATGGAGGCAGTGGATCTGCTGTAACCCACACATGGATTGATCATGTTCCCTCGTCTTCCAACCTCAAACTCACAATCCGATACTCTCATTACCTCCATATTGATCTTCAAGTCTTTCATCAACACCACTGCAGAAATGGTAGAGCGCACTTCTATCTGTATGGACTCATTTATTTCTTCCAAACAAACAAAATATCTACCCTCTCTGCGCTATCAGTGTCTGCCCGGTCTTTACAATCGCCTTTTATTGCCCATATGTCCATGTTGAACTCCCTCTTTTACCTTTTACCGTTCTTGTTCTCTTCAGCCTCCTAAAATGATTCCTTCTCAGCAGACCTACTGCTCTAAGGTAAAAGAACCAGTCATTGTCAAAGTACGTCCATTAATGAATCTTCATGGTCATTTTGACAAGAGATTCGTTAGAAATAGCATCCCAGATGTAGCTATCGCTAAGTTGTCTAAACTTCTGACTGGCAATAGGAAGACAGAATCGTTATATAGGGAACCCCACGCCATTAGATGCTAAATGGGCCAGACCAGTACAATCATAACATAATTAACTATAAACAACAATAAGTCTATGTTTTTCCACTTTGTTTTCATGCAAACAAGTACCAGTATATTAGTTATTTATTATTATTATTTGTTCATATTTAATGAAATATCCATCCCATCCATGCATTTGCATCCGCTTATCCGTTGCCGGGTCGCGGGGGCAGCAGTCTCCACGACAGTCACCCAAATCACAATGCACCGTACAAGCCCCTTGTCAACCTTCCTGCGGGTGGTGAGCCCACTGGAAGGCGTCAACCGACCTAACCAGGATTTGATCTTGCCCAGGTGGTGAACTCTAGGGTTCCACAACAATAACAGAGACATTGCCTCTGGGCCAAAGCGCCACATTTATTGAAATATCTAGTTTCAAAGAAATATCCTGAACATGAAGTGTTTGTGTAGGTCTTTCATCAAGTGGGTCGGATTATATTTTGGTCCGCTGGGTGTATGTTTAACATCCTTGGTATAGGTAGGTACATAGCTTCATCAAGTGGGTCGGATTATACACCCTAGAGGCCGGTTTTGGTCCGCTGGGCGTATGTTCAACATCCTTGGTATAGGTAGGTACATAGACTGCCCTTTTCATTAGATTGATTGCAAACAGATTCAAATGCTCGCTGTGAAAATGAATCGGTATTGTTGTCAGTTTGACCTCAATGTTAAAGTCTTTGTCTGTTAGTCCCAACAGAAACATACATCTTTACAGTGTTATTCGACTGTGATAAAACATTGTGTCATTGTAGTAAGGCCTGTTGATTTGCCTGTTGGTAAATCCACAGTCCAAAAACATGCAAATTAGGATCTTTCACATCTAAATTAACCATAGATGTGAATGGGTGCATTTTCGTAATATCAGCCTTCTATGCACTGGTGACATGTCCAGGATTTATATTGTCTTGGGGTGCCCAACGAGTAGATAACAAGCTTACAGTAAATCACAAAGTGAATTTTGGTAGATAACGAGCAATTAAAACAATAATAAAAAAATGTAATTCTGTATTGTGATGTTAATCACTATGACTAAACCACAGACAATATAGAGATATACTGTATATCTTATGGTAATTTACAGCCACATGTATTTAATAAAGGAACTCCAGCATATAATGCATCTATAAAGTATATCAGTATATATTTAAGTTTTCAATGTAGCTAGCTCAGTTTTGCCTAATCACTTGAAAAGAAGTTCCCAGGCCGTAACAGTGTGGGCACCGCTGCTGTATAGGAATAAAGCTTTAAAATGAAATAAAATAAAATAAATAAAAATTTTAGAAAATATATATATATATTAGGAACATGTGGAAATACTGGACGATATTTCCTTTTAAATCCGTCTCTGCAAGACTTAATTAATAATTCATGAAGACTGTCACATGACTTATGGAAACACATGAGTCACGTCCTTATAGGGCAAACGTGCTTGTCCTAAATCAAACTAAGCACACGTGTAGTCATTCTAATGTAAAGTATCATCAGAAGAGTCGACCTCGTAACTTTGTCAGTGAAGGATGCCGAGTAATCTTCATCCCTTAGGTTACTGACCTGGTAGTATTCTGCTGCAGCTTTAGCAGGGCCATATTAATGACCTTCACACAGCATCAGGTTACTGGTCCAGATGCGTAGAAACCAGGAATTCCACTCAGCAGGACCTGGCTGGATGAGTCACAGGAATGACGGGAATTTGGTCTCAGGGATCCTTGAAACGCTACCATGCAGGACAATGTGTTATTGTCCCCCAGACACCCGAGTTACGTTAATGCAATAATAAAAAGGCCTCACAAAACCTTGAATCAGCAGTTTGTTAGGGGGTTGCAGTGTTGCAGGAAGCTTAGATGGGGGTCTTTCAGGGGAAGCAGGAGGTAGGCAACTGTCCACACTTTGCCAGGCAGTATTATTTTTACAGGGTATCATGTTGAGCAATGGCAACAGAGGTCTTTTAAAATTTTAAACGCATCCAGAGCAACAGTGGCTAGTTACAATTAATGAATTCCTTCACACTGCATCTTAGGGTCAATCCTGATGCCTTTTCCCCCTTTATCACAGACTGCAGTGCAAATGTTCGTTATGTTCACTGTAATAAGATAGATAGTTGGATAGATGGATAGATAGATAGATAGATAGATAGATAGATAGATAGATAGATAGATAGATAGATAGATAGATAGATATTTATTAATCCCTCTGGAGAGGCTCTTTCAGCATTACAGCACAAAAACAGCAGTAAAAAGACACGAACAGGTAAAATACAATCAAATAAAAACATGAGTAGCAATGAACAGCGGATGTATTTCCGGACTATTGAGCGCACCTGAATATAGGCCGCACCCCACTAAATTTAAAGGCTGGTTACACGTTAGCTCTTTCCTGCTTTGCACTTTAGTGATCTGCTCAGGTTTCCACTTTGTAACATTGGGTATTTACACCGAAATAGTTTTTTTTTCTCTTTTAATTAAATAAAACCTTTTTTTCTGAACAGTACCTGTAACACGGCTGGTTACACGTTAGCTCTTTCCTGCTTTGTTTCCCCAACCGTAGTTAGAATGCACAGGGGAGACTTAGTGATCTGCTCCATGGTTGGTGCTAACATTAGCTCTGGGGCTAACTCCCTTCACTTTGTGCTTGTCCACAGCAGAGGTTAACAGAAACATAAACAGCGTTTTAACAGCTCCTGTATAACCAACTCACAAGACAGGGCTCAAACTGCTCTCAACTTTTCGCTACTTTTCTCTCGTGTGCCCCATGCACATATACGCAAACAGCCATTCTCAGACAGACGTACGCTATTAGTATAACACGCAGTAGCTTAACAGAAAAGTAATTGGAAAGGAAAGGAGGGAAAGTGAACTACTTGTCATTGTAACATTGTGACACACACCACGAAATGTGACTTCTGCATTTAACCCATCACCAAAGTTAATAGTAGGCAGCTTTGAGCACCCGGGGAGCAATGTGAGGGGACGGTGCCATGCTCAGTGCAGCTCAGTGGTAATTTGGCAGCTGGTGGACTCGAGCCTGAAACCTCTGCTTCCTTAACCACTAAGCCACCACTGTTTTTTGTTTTGTTTTTTTTTTTTAATGTTTGTTTTTGATTTAATTGATCACTAGCATGAGCTTCGTATGAACTTCATTAGCCCGTAAAAATCCATATATTAGCAGCATCATTGTTTAAGGCGCAGGTTTCACAACGTGTGATAAAAGTAGTGTTGTAGATTATAATCTTAATTGTTGTTATTATTATTATTATTATTATTATTATTACATTGCATTTAGCAGACACTTATCCACAATTTGAGGAACAATCAAGCTAAAGTGGACGGTGCATGTTAGATGTTCAATGGGTTCGTTACGATAGAGATGTTCTTTGAAGGGAAAAGTTTTTAAGTGCTTCTTGAAAAAAGAGAGGAAGGACCCTGCTCTTGTGGTAGCTGGTAGTTTGTTCCACCACGTAGGGAACCAGGGTAGAGAATGACTTGTTATTTAATTGTTACTTATTATTATATTGTTATTATACTTGTACTTTGTTACTATACTTGTAATTCTAAATTAAATATTAGTATTTAATCCTTATAATTATAAGGATGTTGTGCGAACAAGTATATAAATAGTTTAAAAAGTAATATAAAATGTAAATTAGTTTGAAATATATATATATATATATATATATTTAATATATATAAACAGTTGAGTTTTTAAATAATTAATTTTAATAGGC